GGGTGCTGTCAGAATGAGAGTCCAAACAGCTGATAAAAACATCACAATAATCCACAAGTAATTCACATGTGTCCAGTCCATCAGCTAATGTGAAGTGAGTTAGTTGTAAATAAACAAATTCATCATTAAGGAAGTTTAACTTCAAACCATTGCTTCTGATCAAAATACCATAATGCATTGTTTGCTCCAGTAAAAAGTTAATCTCCTGTTGTCCTCTCACATCAAAATCCACCAACATATTTGTTCAGAACTGTTTGGAACTGTTTTCGGTTGTAACAGTGCTTGATCTGTGCATATTTCCCTCCTGATTCAGGCATGACAACTGGAGAAAGCTATTTAATATGTTAGCTGAATGCAACAGTTTGAAGTTAAAATGTCTTAATGATGAATTTGTTTCTAACAAATACACAGTTTTTCCCTTCACAAGACATTAATCAATGGACTGGAGTGGTGTGGATTATTGTGATGTTTTTATCAGCTGTTTGGACTCTCATTCTGACGGCACCCATTCACTGCAGAGCAAGTGATGTAATGTGAAATTTCTCAAAATCTGTTCCGATGAAGAAACAAAGTCATCTACATCTTGGATGGCCTGAGATATGACTTGTAATCAACTAGTACTGTTTAAATACATTTATTATTACACTATACAATAATGTAGTTTATAAATTAACATGCTCATATTAAATTCACAATATATGTCAATAAATGCTGACACTCACCTGCTGTAGTACACTGAGAAGACGTTCTGTTTTAGAACATGTTGACACATGATGTGATCGAACACAGGTGTGATTCCATCAATGGCTACATCTGGATATCCCATCCCTAACACTCCATCAAACTTGGCAAAGATGAACGGGATCGCAGGAAGAGCTGTGGCCTCTGCAAAAACCTGCACCACCGGGATACCACCCACCTAAAGAAGTTAGAGGTCAAAGGTAAGACAGCTCAATCATGTACTATGTGCAATTACAGTTCTGGTCTTCCATATTGCAGTCAGTTTGTTTTAAAATCAATCAGTATTTTGCCTTATTGCATGTCAAATTTGGGCACAAGCATCTGGACTTGGTTATCCGTTGATGTTTTGCTGTGCTTGACTTTCTATGGTAACCTGGATGGCAAAAACTGAGCTGTGGCCTCTGCAAAAACCTGCACCACTGGGATACCACCCACCTAAAGAAGTTAGAGGTCAAAGGTCAAACAGCTCAATACTATGTGCAGTTACACTTCTGGTCTTCCATATTGCAGTAAATTTGTTTTAAAATCAATCAGTATTTGGCCTTATTGTGGGTAAAATATTGTGCACAATCTGGACTTGGTTATTTGTTTATGTTTTGCTGTGCTTAACTTTTTATGGTAACCTGGATGGCTAAAAATATTTAAAATACCATTAAAATACCATTTCCATTATGTTGGTAAAGATATTCCTTTTGAACTCATTTCTTAAAATTCCCAGTGTTTTACACTCTAAAGCCAATGGCTTTTAATTGTTACTCACTACAACCACGTCCTCGCTCAGAAATCCCCGGACGTTTCCAGAAGCGTACTGGATGGAGAATCCTGTGCCGTTGTAAATATGCGTTAGGGACCTGGAAGCATCGTACCTGTTGTGTGTGACTAAAGAGACATGTGGAGAAAGGCAGACTGAGCTGTAGGAGAAAATATGCAATTGTAAAATGTATGTGTAGATAATACAATGACTTCTTAAGATAAATTGTGATTGCGTTTAGTAAATCACTCACAGCAGGCTGTGTATAAAGGAGAACAGCTGTGTGAAGGAACCCAGAGGTTGGCAGAACCCGTGTCAAACACAACATTGAACATCTGAGCTGGTGAACCAATACTAATCTCACCAAAGTATTGAGTCTGGAAATCAACAGAGAAATACACAATTAAAAATACAAAATTGTCTATATAAAACAGATTATTAAAAATACAAAATTGCTCATAATTTTAGTTCTTTTCCATTTTTAAGACTGATTTACATCTAAGTAGTTGATCAGAGGTGTTGGAGCTGTGCCGTTTGTTGGTGAAGGTTCGTCATATTTTGGCATAATCTCAGAAAACACTTGAGCTGGTGTGACACCCATTTCCTTGAAGGTTTCTCGTATGGAGGGCATTTTCTTCAGTTTTACTCTAGCGAAGAGGGAAATGACTCATGTTACATTTATTATTTGTTTGTACAACTGATAAAACAGCAACATCAGATAGTAGTGCGTTTTATCTGATTTTAAAATGATTTTTCACTATTTTTCATGATTTTTCGTCATTTCAGTTAATGACATAAATACAATCCCCACATGGCAAAAATAGATACAGGTGCATCTCAATAAATTAGAATGTCATGGAAAAGTTCATTTATTTCAGTAATTCAACTCAAATTGTGAAACTCGTGTGTTAAATAAATTCAATGCACACAGACTGAAGTAGTTTAAGTCTTTGGTTCTTTTAATTGTGATGATTTTGGCTCACATTTAACAAAAACCCACCAATTCACTATCTAAACAAATTAGAATACTTCATCAGACTAATAAAAAAACAATTTTTAGTGAATTGTTGGCCTTCTGGAAAGTATGTTCATTTACTGTACATGTACTCAATACTTGGTAGGGGCTCCTTTTGCTTTAATTACTGCCTCAATTCGGCGTGGCATGCATTTTGTAATATATTTCAAAACTACTAAAATAGATTTTAAAATATATTTTATATAGATATATTTTTTATACATATATTTTTATATATATAAATATATTTTAATTACTTACATTTCCTCGTATTTTGGCCATTTTGAAACATTTTTAAGAATTAAAAAAAAACAACTACGGGCAAATATTACAGACTATTATGCTCAAATCAAGAGAAACAGAAATCGTGATCACGATTAAACTACAACCCTATCTGAACTGAACCAACACTGAACTGACTTGAGCTAAATAATAGTGCTATTGCCTTTTAGAGCTGAATCTGAAATGTCTCCATAGGTGCATTTCCATAACTGATTTATACTGTTTTCCTATTTATGTCTGTAAATCTGCTTTGACAATCTGTATTGTATAAAGCACTATAGGAATAAAGGTGACTTGACCTTCCTAAAATATAAAGGCAGCTATCTATTTTCATCTACAAAGATGCATGGGTCTGTATTAGAAAAAAAACATTGCATGATATTGTAAAGACAACATATTTCTCAAATTAAATAATTGGCTTTCATGTTGTTGTATTAAAGCCAGAGCAAAATATTTGTTGTGTTGACTTACCTCCATAAGGCCTGTGTGCTGGTCACTGAGAGTGACAGGACTAGAAGAGACAAGCAGTGCACTTTCATTCTTACAGATGGATCAAATCACATTAACTACCCGATAACTAGTGTGCCAAACGTCTTGTGCCCAGACTCCTTCCCAAACGTCTCTCCTCTTTTACTGTGCTTTATTTGACAGACTTTCCTTCTTCCCATGTTTTTATACTATTTCTCCTACGCTCTGTTCTGACCTTGACACAAGACCCTGGCTTTGCTGTCCTCTCACCCCTCCTTCTGATAAATGCTCCCTGAACACAGTGACCTCCTGGTCAAGGGACACACATCACACACAGTGATTTAAGACCACTTCACTTAATAAAATCATCATTGTATGGACCTGAAGGATGCGGATGTATGGAAAAAACTGACAACAAACTGTAAATCATTCAAGAATATGACACATAAATATTACAATATTATCAACATATCGAAGAGCAACACATATCTGTCATATAATATCTGATATTATACGACAGATGTGTGTTGCTCTACAATATATATTCCAGAACTGACGGTTTGTTTGTAAGGGCATGCAACTCTTAATGACTCTTGACCTTTCAACTTCGCCTAGAACTAGATTTCCCACAGTTATGGGTCAATCTCTTCCCCTGAAATTCCCTCATGGGACTCTCCATATATAGATGTCATCTTTTACATCTTCCTCTATTTTGCTGTTTGTCTTCCCTGGACTCATTTTTAAAGGTGTTTCAGTGGGTTGGTCTTTTTTAAGGACTAGCAGGTTTATTCCTCAGGCTCCTCACTGAAGAAGATAAACTACACCTGCACAATAATTCTCCACAGTATGATGACATGTAGTGTTTTGGAAAGCACCAACCCACCATGACAGTTTTCATCTTATTTGGGCCAGCAGCTGGCCCAGCAGATGCCTGTGAACCTGCCCACGGTGGCTAAAACTTACAGTAAGTAACATTAGATAGCCCTGGCAGATGCCCACTGGTTACATTATTTGACCTCAGAGTTCAAACTTGTTTTGCAGCTGCCATACAGCAATTGCCACTACTAACATCACATCTATATTTATATAAAAATACATTAAGTGAACTTATAATCAGCTGTTGGATGCCATTCTATGCACTTCTTGGCTAATATGATGGTGCCATCACAATTGGTTCTTGACACTTGCTGGCGCTATTCAGCTAAACAGCTGCTTATGTTGGCCAGGCAGTGTTTGCGCTTACCCTTTTTTCAACCACTAGGTGTCCCGTTGGTGTACTGGAAAATAGTCACAGAGCATCAACTGATATTATCTTTTATTTATTACACCTTTATCTCATAATATTAATTAAGACTTATTTTGTGACAAAGCTTAAGTACTAAACAACAAACTATTATTGTGTTTTCTTACTGTTTTTTTGTCTCAGCCAACACAACACATAATTTAAGGCAAACGGTGGCTATTGGGCTGTTGAATGGACAGTGTATGAATCACATCTCAATTCTTTGGTCAGTCAGTTATTTGAGGAATGATGACAGAAAAGTATGCCTACTGCATGCTGTACATTAGGGAACTTCACATGTATGTGATTCACCAGTTTTCATGAAAAAACTGAATCTGTTTAGAGATTTCAGTGTGTGTGGAAAAATCATATTGATGTCGTGTAAAATGGCATTTTGATTGTCAGAAACAATTTTGTGGCACTTTTTGCCGTGGTAGGTACAATATTCTTTGCTACTATGTTGATTCCTTCTTTAAAACACCCAATAAGAAAAGTACATAAACACATAATCTTCAAATGTTCGTTGAATCCTTTCAGGTTTGTATTCTACGACAACTTAATCTTCATTTGTATTGAGCGACAGAAGCACATCCGCTGTAGCATGTTCACTCGCTGGAGCTGGCGGAAGTGGACGCGCGTCATTGGCTGTTGAGCTGCTCTTCAGAGCTGTGCTCCTGCATTCATTCAAACGGCTGAGTTCAGAAGCGCGCGCAAGGAAAGGGCTGATCTCCTTCGAGCTCTAATTCATGTTTCATCCGTCTGTTCATGATTCTGTCAACTTAATGTAAAGGTAAGAAACGATTAAAAGCGTCCTTTTTTATATTTGGCCACCGCCAGCTGACAGCTAAACCGAACTAACCTTGTAGCAACTGAAGAAATACTTCAGCAAATGAACCTTTGCTCATTTTTAGGCAACAGTTGCCACTATTACAATTACTAGAAACTGCGTTTTGTAACATGTCGCTAAAGCCAGGAAAACCGTAATGTTTATTATGTTAGCACTGTGGCTAGTTACAGCAAACTGTTGACAAACTAACGTTAGCTTATAGGGTTTTGTCACTTTCAAAGTCTCCTTGTAAAAAGCCTCAAGGTTTAGACATCAATGTATTTTTAATAACAATGAGCTTTCGTTGCCTGACCAACCCAATTGGTGTATTGAAATGAAGTATAATCAAATACATCCTGTACTAATGTCAATAAACCACTAAATATAGACGCTTTGTGACAAAACCGGAACCTAAATCCAAAAATTGGCCCTGCTTGTGTTAATATGTGAGTATGTGAGGCAGAAGTAAAGGAAGAACTGTCCGTGTGTCTGTTATTTTGAAACGCTCAGTTTACACTGTCATATTGGGTGCTGTTAAAGGGACAGTTCACCCAAAAATGAAAATTCCGCCACTATTAATGAATGGTGACTCAGACTGTCATTCTCCTTGTGTGTTGTTCAGTAAAAACAAAGTCATGTGGTTTTGGAATAGCATGAGGTTGAGTGTATATTCTCATTTTTGGGTGATAATCCATGTAAAAACCATCATGTCATAAGATGACATATTGGCAGCCACAGTGAAAGTGCAGAAGTCTTTTAAGCTGCTGGAGTAAATCTCATTCTGTGGACTGTGTCCTGCTGGTCTGATGCGAGACCGTCTCATTGAATGCCAGATTAGTAGCTCTGATAATCTCATAGTAATGTTACATCTGAGGTCGTTGAGCGGCGCGGTAGGTTTTGAAGAAGTTTATCGGTTCGTCAACTTAGGACTGATAGGAATCTTATACACTTCACATTCAAAACCATGAATGTGAAAACTATAGTTACAGTAAGTGATAGTTCCTGTCATCATGCTGTTCCAAACCCATACTACTTTTTCTTCTGTGGCACAGAAAAGGAGATGTTTAGCACAATGGCAAAGCAGCTCTTTCCCAATACAATAAAATTATAGGGGATATGTGCTTACAATATTATTAAAATGATCATGTTTCCAGTGATTTCCCAATTTGGCTAAAATGTTTTATTATATTACTATTGTAATATCACAGAAAAAATTTTATCTAGTATTTTAGAGAAATTCTATAATAATAATTGCATTTTACATTACAACAAAAAAATTACGATACTAATATTTATGGCTGTCTTGATGTTTTTTTTTTTCATTTCTTTTTTTTTTTTAAATGGTAAATCAAAGGGATCCTTTAAATCTTAAATCAACAGCTGGTTTATAAGTGCTTTTCATTCATCTTTATAGTTTCTCTATTATTCTTGACATCTGTCTTCTCACAGACATGACGAGACAGGAGTGAAGTATCTGTTCTTGGCTGGAGCGTGAGGTTGGGCAGAGGATGCTGGAGGAGGGTGATGGAGAGTTGGAGGGGATCGGTGGAGGAGGAGGAGATGGGGGGCTTCAAGCAGAGGTGGAGAGGCTGGCGGCAGAACTCCAGGAAGCCAATGAGGAGAAGTTACAGGCTGCACGGTACGGCCTGGCCGTTCTGGAGGAGAGCGCTGCGCTGAAGATCAAACACAGCCAGCTGGAGGAAGATCATGAAGCCCTGAAGATGGAAGTGCAACAGCTCAGAGAGGTCAGTCAATAGAGAGCCAGAGATAAATAGAAGGAAAAGAGGGGTAGAAGCTTAAAGAAGCAAGTTTTGAGGAATTGCTGCAAGAAGGAGCTTCTTTTTTCCAGAGAGTGATTCACAAAATAGTTTACTGTTGTAGAATTTGTAATTTAAATGATTCGTTATGGCATAAGTAAGAGTATTTGTTGTCTAAATGTCTCTTGAATTTCTTTGGTTTCTTGCACACGACAGCCAATAATTCTGCACACAAAACATTTCTGGTCAGCACAAATCTTGTTTATTATTAATTAAGGCAAGTGAACCTGTATCAAATGTCATCTGGGTCATATTTCCTATTACCTTGAGTAGTTTTGTTTATTATTTTTGAGAATGAGGGCATATCACAACCTGTCCAAGTTGGCTTCTGAGAACAGATGAATTTTTTCCCATTTTGGACACAGAACCTTTCACATCAAAGTTATAATAGTATGGGTTTCTCTGCTTTTTCCATGGTGAACCTATCAGAACAGACTTGCAACCAAATTTGTGTGCTTTTTTCCCATAAAGAGATTTTGTCCATATAACAATCAAGCATTGAGAAGACACATGTCTTTTAGCTGTTACACAGTCAGCTTGGGGAAATGTTTCATGCCCTTCTTCTGAAGCATTGTCTTCCCTGTGTGATTCATATCCTTGTAGTCTTACAGATGGATAGTTTGCATACTCAAATGTTTTGTCTGGACAGTAGTACGCTTTACTCTCAGTGAGCTGTTTTCCCTGTTTGTCAGTGTCATGTAGAATTTGTAATTTCATTTTAGGTTGAACACTCAGTTTGGTTATGATGGCCTTGCTTAATAGCTAAATTTGCAAGAGCTTTTCCCTGCAGATCTTATGTAACGTACAAATAAAAACTTGATATTTAAATGAAATGTTAATTACATAACATGGACACTTCTTTGGGACCCAGGGGTCTAACCAAAATTAGGTGGATATTTATATCCTTCTGCTTGACAGATGCAGGCACATGATGGCAAAAAAAGAAAATGGTTTAGTTTTGATGATTCATTAAGCCAACAAAAAGCTTGATCTAGTGGCCTGTATGTAAGTATTTTGATAATATTTAATTGTTTGGCTGAAAGAATCAATAAATTAATATCTTTGTCCCACCTCCTTGTCCTTGTGAAATATTAGCTGAGAGCAATGCAAAGACTTTCCAGATTGTCATTTCCCCATAAAATAACAACAGCAAAAAACTTTTCTTTTGCCATATTGGTTAGTGTTTGAAAATAATTTTTTATATTTTTCGAGAATAAGGTGGTCTTTTTAAAAACATTGCTGTTTTGTTTGGACATTACCATTTTAGGACAATTTTAATAGAGCACTCAATGTTCAGCCAGATCAGTTTATGTGTTCCATGGCCAAAGTAGAAAACAAATAGACTGTAAGCCTGGCATGCACGGGCCTTTTTAGCTCTCTTTGTTATCCGATTTATTACATAAATCTGTGCCCCAAAATCCATGCTTTAAGTTTTTTGCAATAATTCAAAATTAGCAACACATTGAGGGCATTATATGTGTGCACATATTATTGGTTTGCCAACTTCAGGTAATATGTCACTCATTTTTTTTAATGTGAAGTTCACATGAGGCACATTGGGAACCCACCTCTCTGGTATGAAGATTAGGCTCATGTATTTCTCTCTCTGTGTGTCTGATTAGTAGAGCATGAAATTGGCAAAGTAGGTGAATGTGGTAGAGTGAGATGACTGGGGTGCACAGATTTGGGTCTAGTGCGCTAGAAAAAGCATGTGTGACAGTTGTAACATCCTAGAGTTGTACACATTGATTGCATCATCATTTCATGTTTAGTCCTCCAGGATTCTAATAATAAATATTTCTGTTGAATGAATAAATCTTTTCTCTGAAATGGTTCACCCACAAAGAAACATTTACTGCATCCATATATTTTTCCAAACCAATATTATTTTCCTTACTATCCTCCTACATAAAAGTCAGAATGTGTTAGGCAGAATGTCTGAGCTGCTCTATTCCATACAGTGGCTACAACAATAGTGTGATGAAGCCCAAGGCCATTGGTTTTTGTGTGTTGTTTAGATTTGAGAGCTCTTGTGATTAGCAGAGTTTTTATAGTAAGTAAACCTAAAGCTATTGAAAAATGTTAACTGATAGAAAATAAAATATAAAAGAAACTTATTTATTTCAGCTAGCTTCCAAAGCAGAATTTCCCATTTACATTTAGTTTAATATATAGAAACTATAATAAAAATTACAAAAAACACAAATTACTAAAACTTTAACTGAAAAATGAAAATGGTAAATATGAAATTAAAATATGAATAAAGGCTATAATATTGTCTCTTAATGATACTAGTGCGACACTGATTTGTGGTGAGTTACAGTGAATTTTTTTGGTTCTTGTTTCTCGCACAAAGCCATCACATGGCTTCAATCAGAACCATAGACCACTTTTGATTCTTTTGTGCATTACATTGGAATTAGTGATCGACCGATATTGATTTTTTTTATAACGATACGATACCAATTATTTGCATGTTTATGTGCCCGATAACCGATATGCAGAACCGATATTTATTTACTGTTATAAAGTAAATAAATGACTGAGTTAAGTAAGAACATACTTCACTTTTGTTTTTCCTCTTTTCAGTCTTTTTTTTTTTTTTTTAAGTGTTGAAAATTAGCAGTCTTTCATGTTAAATTTAATCTTCATATTACAACAATAAAAACATTTTATTTATAAAAAGCATCAACAGCAACAACACTAATATTAACAATAAGCAAAATAAATGTAGAATGTCTAATGTTTTCAAATGGAGAAAATAAATAAAGGACAGGAGTCATATCAACTTCATTTTAAACTACAGTTTTAGTAGGTTTCTAAACTATTTAATAGCTACAGAGTCAAGAATAATTCACTGGATAATGTTAATTCACTGAATAATATTCTCTGGAATATTGGAATATAACAAACAAAACATTGTACTTTATTGAATTTCTCAACTAGATTGTTATATCAGGATTATTAATATGTTTTTGTTCTTCTAGATTATGAAATGCCTGCTGACAGCGCAGTTTATACTATGCAGTTACACAGAACTATACTCAAACTGCTATCGCTCACGGAGATAATAAACCATTAATTTCCATAGAGTTGTATTTATTTAGATGTTTATTAGCGAAATAATGGTTATATAGTAATTCATTCATGGATGTATTATTTAACTCATGCAAAGTTATGTCTTTATTGGGAGAGGATCTTGACGGATTATCTACGTGACTCCGACTTCACGAGACTAACGATGAGCATAGACAACAGAGAGAGAATTCAATTCAGTGCTTTTATTTCCAACATGCGCTCATTCATGGCTGCATATTATTTCATTCAGGCAAAGTTACGTCTTTATTGGGACAGGACTTGATGGGTTATTTTACATGATTCCGTGAGTTGGTCTCTATTTTTTAGAGCCAAGCTGCATAAACTACATATCAGGCATTTATGTAATGCATCTAATTTGTGCATAAATGGCTGTTATGAATAAAGTTTACTAACTACAGCAAATCAAGTACCTGCACCATGCCGTTGTTGTTGTCTCGCCTCCCCTCAGATGCGCTTCAATGCCGATCCTGCATGCAATTCTCAAAACACCCACAAGATGGCGGCATTTATCGGTGAATCCGATATTACAAAACCGATATCCGATTATGGTAAAATGCTTCAATATCGGGAATAATATTGGTAAATCGATATATCGGTCGATCTCTAATTGGAATTATACTTAACCTTCTGCTTTTGTTGTATGGAATAGAGCTTCTGAGATATTCTAACATCCCCTTTTGTGTTTCACGCAAGGAAGTCATTTTGAGGGACATGAGGAAAAGCAAATCTTCATTTTTGGGTGAACTAGTCTTTTAAAAAGCATGTCCTTCTTTTACATTTACTGAACAGAAGTATAAATTCCCCTGAGGTATAAATTCTCCCTCTTCAGTCTGCCTTTCATCATTAATTATAGAGTAGCACAAGCATGGTTTTCCCACATGTTCTCACACGACTCAAATTATAGTATTCAGAGAAAAGAGTGTGGCTATGTTAATGACAACCTGGCCAGTGTTGATTCATCTTATAAAAGTTCAGTGTGAGCAAATCTGGTGTATGTTTGTTACCATTTGTCCAAGTGCTACAATGGCCAGAAACACTTTATTTTAAGGTTACTATTATAATAACAATAAATTGTGCATAATTACATGCAAGTAACCCTAATCCTAACCATATAGTAAGTGCATGTAGTTAATTAATATTTTTCAGTACTTTTAAATGTATAATTACACTGTAACAAGGACACCTTAAAATGAAGAGTAACCCCGCGGCCTTAGCATGAACTAAACACATTGTAATTACACCCTCTGGTTGCTAGTAAAGCTGGAGTGTAATGTAGTGTCATGGGTAAAGTATAGAGTTTCGTTTCGCTAGCTCTCAATACAGTTGCCATTGTTTATTGGCTAGGCGAGTAAACAAATTACTCAAAATAATTAAAGATTGACAACTTAACTTTCAACAGCTCTGCTGTTCTCATATGAAGAATTTCAGAAATTTACACAAAGTAGCTGAGGGCCCGTAAATTGTGTCAGCGTTGCTTGTTCATTTAGCCAGTCAACTAAATTGTTTTGTTTCTTCTTGGCCAAACCTCTGCTAGTGTAACTCAGTGTCTTGGCTGTGATGGAGATGAGTGTTTGATTGATGTACAGTATGTGTATATGTTTACAGGCTCTGGCAGACTCTGTGAGCAGCCATAAGCGTGCAGCCGCAGATGGGGAAAGTCGAGAAGAGAGGCTCCTGCAGGAGTCGGCCACTAAAGAGGCAGCCATGGAGATTCGCATGGATGAGCTGCAGGCGGAGCTTAAACAGGCCCGTGTCATGCTGGCCAACACCTCGGCTGAAAACGAGCGTCTGGCCGGCCTCTCCACCCAGCTGAAGAAGGTACATACACCACCATCAATCAGAAGGCTAGTGTTTACATAAAATGTGCATTCCTAACCACAAGACCAATGATCACCTTACTGCCTTTCTTATGTGAGCTGTACAATGAGATTCATTTTCTAAAAGAAGCAATATTTATGTGTAACAGAAAAATGAAATGTTCTGAGCTGAAATTGCATGCACTCTTCTGGCTCGCTTGCTGATCAAAGTAAAAGTGGAAATAAGACTCCTTGTTTTCATGATCATGTGACAAAACCGGGTTGAGTTTCAATGTCAGCCTGAAGAGAAGAGAGGCCATTGTGAACTACTTATTGAACTATTGTACTGGACAAAACAAATAATTTCTACTTTTAAGTAAAGTTCTTTAATAATAAAATCTTCTCTGCCCTCTATTGAGAGATGAGTTGATTCCTATTCTAAATCGGCTTGCAGTCTCTGCAAAAATATAGTGCATGTGTCATGCCAGGTTTGATGTCAGTGACTGCTTTCATTGTTTAATTGTATGAAAAATGCACCTGGGACTGCTAAACTTCACCTTTTGTATTTCGAAGTAAGGTCTGGAATGAGATGTAAAATGTAAATCATATAATTAATTTTGTGTGAACTCCGTTTAGAGAATTTGTATTAAATGGAACAAAGAGACCATAAACACTAAAACTGCAGCATTTTCTGAAGCTTCCATCATGTAATTGTAATTGTGCAGATCTAATTTCTCTTCAGTTTATTTTTATTTTATGGACTTCCTCTGTCTGACTACTCCTGCTGACTCTAGGAGTGTGAGTGCTTGGAGGTGGAGAAGAACCGAATAAGAGAGGAGATGAAGGAGTACAAGACTCGAGAGGTGCAGCAGCTTCAGGATAACAGTGAGCTGGAGGAGGAGAACATCTCCCTGCAGAAACAAGTCTCGGTGCTTAAGGAGAACCAGGTGTGTGAGAATGCGGATCTCATATTTAAGCATTGTTTGTGGTGTTGTTTTCTGTATTTATTGAATATCCAACTTTTTCCATAAATATTTCATAGTAACCCTCTGATGCATTATCAATGCACATCATACATCATGATGCACTTCAACATGTAACATTAATCACTTTCTTGTAGTGTTTGCTAGACTTACGTCTTTGCTTGTGGAATTGCTTCGCTGGAGATGTCTTGTGACTTTGAATGTGTTTTTTGCAGCTGCTGTCACGGCAGTACAAGCACTTCTGTTGTAGTGCTTCAGTCTCAGCTGATTTTTAACAAAGCCTTCCTTCTGAGGGACTGCACACGAGAACGGTTTTATTCACATCCCGCATGAATATTCACAGACACTCAGAGGCTGGAACGCCTTCCCTGTTGGACTAAAAACTGGTTTGCTCAGGGTGAATTCAGACAGTAAATGTACAAATAAGCTAAGCTGAGATGTCCTTGACTTCAGTAACTAGACTAGTTATAGTGAATTAACTCAAAAATGACATGTCATGACTCATGATGCCACTAATTCTGCCACCAATTCTGATCATATGCAAAGTTTTGGAATTGACACTGCAGTGTGACACTGTGTGAATGCTAACACTTGAACCTTGTTGGTGTTAAAGGAATAGTTCAGCCAAAAATGACAATTAGTTTAAATTTTAATCACCCTTTAATGTACTGTAGATGTTTCTTCATTGGAACAGATTTGGAGAAATTTAACATTACTTCACTTTCTCACCAGTGGATCCTCTGCAATGAATGGGTGCCTTCAGAATGAGAGTCCAAAAAGCAAAAAAAGAGGAAAAATCTACAAATTTGTTCCAAAGAAGAAACAAACTCACCAACATCTTAGATGATCTGAGGGTGTGAATTATTCTTTTAAAATTGGTTTAGAGATATTTTGATATTAATGCTCCCAAAATGCATGGCATTAAACTAGTTATTCAGTTCTGTTGTTTATACACTGTGATATTAATATAAATGTGGGTGTCATTTCCTGGGTGAATTCAGAAAGTGGTGCAATAGTCCAGCAACGGCTGTGATGTCATGAAGTGGATACAGATCTGGCTTTGTTTACTGTAATTTGTCATAGAAATGGGATCTAGTTATTACTGTGGTCATTAGTTATATGATGCCAGATCAGTAAAGGCAGGCTAATCCAGCCTAATAAGTTAGTACTGTGCTGGTATGTTTTGGGGGAAGGGAGCTAGTGAGCTACATAGGATGCAGACAAGTGGAAAGTTTCAGTGTATGACTTCTTGTAACCCTAGTCAAATTGTTTGTTGGTCTTTTCATTAGGGTTTTTGTTGTTAACTAAATTGGAAAAAAAACCCTGAAAAAATTTTAATAGAAATATTAAAAGAAAGAAAATATTTAGTTAATTGTCATGGTAACAGTTTTTCAAATTAAAGTGCTAAACTTACTAAAATAAAACTGAATAAAACTTTGAATTGAATATATATATAAACTAATAAAAATTATTACACAATGAAAGGCACAATGATGAAACATTTACATTTGTGTCCACAGGTGGAGTTTGAGTCAGTGAAGTTGGAGTTGACCCATAAAGATGAGGAGTTAGAGCTGATGAGGGCACAGCTAGAAGAGGCCGGGCATTTGAGGGAGATTGCAGAGCGTCAGCTGGACGAGGCACTTGAGGCCCTAAAAGAGGAGAGGGAGCAGAAGAACAGCCTGAGACGAGAGCTCGCCGCCCTTACCCTCAACCCCTTTGACTCTTTTGGCCACTTAGAGCTACAGCTGGATGACAGCCGGAATGGAGAGAAGGACAAGGGAGGAGAGGAGGAGGAGGAGGAGGAGATGGACAGTGGGTATAATAACTCCAAAGGGATGGAGAGAAACAGGTGCTCCACACCCAGAAACAGCGGCGTGTTCCTCAGACCTCAGGCGCCTGGGCTGGTGGCCGATCTCCTGAGTGAGCTGCACCTGTCAGACAGCCAGAAACTCAAGCAGCAGCTGCTGCAGGTGAGGAAACCTGTTCACATCCTACATGCTCCTCACTTCATGAGCTGTTGCAGAATTTTCATATCAAAGCTTCATTACTGGAGACTTTCTGAGAATTATTTGTCTTGTGTTTTTCTTCCTGACCTTGTTTTGCATACACTGACATACAAATTTAACTTTGCAAATTGGGTATCCGATGCATGTCTTTCTTATTTGGACACTAGATCTGCACAATGTTGCATTGCAAATTCTACACTCAGCCACCTCGGCCAACCTGTAATAGCAATAGGCACCATGAATCAGTACTTTTAAGTTAAGGGATGTTGTTAGGAGCGGAGACCCTTAAAACCCCCTTAGCTGTTGTAAAATTACCATAAATCATGACAAATATATAACCAAGTTCTCAGAAATGTACATCCATCAGCATGACATTGGTTTCATTATTCTTGAGATTGTGGGAGCAAGTGAGGTTCATATTGGCTGATGCCAATCTCTTCAGATTTAATCTCAGACCAAAGATTAAAAGATTCAAACCCTGTGATGTAAATGCCTGTAAAATGGTCATGTGGGGTTTCTCATTTTTAACTCCGCAGTTTCGTGCATGAAACCATCATCTGACAGATGAATACTACTTCCTGTTTCATACCACTTCCTGCTCAGATGTACTGTACCATCAAGTCAGTTACTAAGAAACAAGTGTTTTTCACCCACCCAGATAGTCCAGTTTTCTTTTTTATTATTAAAATGTATAATCAATGATTATATTGATTGATTATAATGATTATTTTTAAGTTACGTTTTTGACTTTCTGCCCGTGTTGTATTCGAAAATTAGGAGAGAGGGAATGGGAGTGGGAAAAGATACTGGGTTACTAAAAGTGCTGTGATTTTCATAATTTATGACATTTTACTAAAACCAAAAAAAAATGTGAATGAAATTTAAAGCCCTTTAATTAGCATAAATCATTCTAAAGTGGTCCTTCCTTAAAAGACTTAGTTCTAGTGTCATTAGTACGTTTCTCTTGAGTGTTGTTGTTTATCCAAAACGCTTGGATTGAATTAGTCAATCAGAATAAATCTTCATGATACTTGTTTTTGAGAGCCCATATTGTTTGTGTACCCATGTCCAGGTGGAGAGAGAGAAAGCCACACTGAGCAGCGCTGTGCATGACCTCCAGCAGCAGTTATCCCAGTCTAAAGATGCTCTCAGTGAGCAACAGGTGAAGATGGAACAGCTGAGCCAACGTTTGGAGACCCTTCAGAGTACTGCCTCGAAAAGGCCTGCTGAACGAGAGAATGGAATGAGCCCGTCTCCCAGGCCTCTTCAGAACCAAGAAGCCGAAAATGGCATCAGCTACTATGAAGTGGATGCCAAAAGCACAGAGGTGCTAGAGTGCCGCATGCAAGTGGCAAATGAGGATCTTGTGCGTCTGCATGAGGAGCTGAAAGAGGCTGGCGAACGCTCCAAAGCCCTGGAGGAGTGCTACAAGCAGGAGAAAGAACGCTGGAGGGGTGAGGCAAAGGAACTCGCTGATAAAATACGACAGTGTATCGCTGCTAGCCGACAGGATCAGGAGCGAATTGGACAGTTAGAACGGGAAATTGGTGCCACACGACAGGTCGCCACTGACTCTGAAGGCCACCTCAGTGCTGCGCAGGAGGAGCTTCTGGCCTTCTCTGAGGAGCTGGCCAACCTTTACCATCATGTGTGTGTTTGTAACAACCTCACGCCCAGTCGCGTTACACTGGATTACTATCGTGAAGGAGCACAAGCGGGCAGAACGCACAACCATTCGCAGCTGCACCACTATCGTGGATCCCTCCGCAGGCACAGGCGGTCGGGTGAAGTGTTGGACCTGGGCAGTGGAGGAAGCGGAGACACATCATCTAGCTGCGGAAGTTGTCCAGGGTCTCCTACACTAGACTTCAGGGACCCAACCAATGTGCGCAATCTGGTAGCTGTCATACGATGCCAGATTAAACATTTACAGGTATGTCTTATGTAATTTCTTATTCACTTTTCATTTGTTTTCCCATTTCACTTTAATCGCAACAGCCTTAGCTTTTGTTTTAATTGCTCCCTTACGTTGAATTTAGGGGGCATTTTGGTTCATCTTGATGGCATTTCTGCCCAAGTGCCTAATTTCCAACCTGGTTTCAGCTCTTTATTGTAGTTATATAGGGCCCTATGAAATGCAATTTATTTTTTCACAAAGTCAGTTTTTTTATTTCCTAATTCTGTTCTGTATTGTGTATTTACATTTTTCTGGCCATTCAATTCTGGTAAATATTTCTTAAAATAGTGTTTTAATAATAATTTTATTATAGTACTATCATTACATTAGGCTAAGTAATATATTTGTCACAGTTTCTTCAAGTTAAACCGAACTTTTATTTTGATGGGTTGTTTAAGTTTCTCTGTTTATGTGATATGATGATAGATTTTCTCAAAGAAACACTCACGAAGTGACTCTCAGAGCAGTTTTAGAAATTATGTTCATGTACTCGGCAGAGGCTGAAATCACCGCAAGCATCATGCGCGCTTCATTATGTGTGTAGTAAACTAAACCATTCGTCTGTGCCATTCATTCAGTCACACAGAACATGCAGGATTCATATATAAATATCGTAGTATTTTGCGGCTTAATATTCACAGACACTAGTCCATATACATTTTGATTTAAGTGTACTGACCTACTTTTGATTTATTCATCCAAAATTCGGCAAATTCTGTGACATTCAACACGATACAGTCAATTCAATTTTTATGGCTGGATTCCACGATTCCGTCCGTGTTTTCTGCAATGTGGAAATCATAGGGCCCTGTAGTTAAAATTGAAAGGTAATATAATATGGTAATACAAGGAAGTGTACACACAACAATTCTATATTGTAATGTATCCTAAAATGCTCTTTAAATAAGGATAGCTGAATAAAGTTATGACTCATCGTTGGAACATTTCATTTAAGCCTTTAAGCAACTTTTTTTTTTTTTGGAGAGGTAAAGCATGAAATATGAACCGATTAGACCAGGCTGCCTTAGGATGCCTGCCTGAATCTGTTTTAACAACAACATTCAGATTATAGCTGCACTTTTGCTTTCAGTCAACTCAAGAAAACAAAATAATGTTGAAATCATGGCAATATCAGTATCTAAATCTGTTTTCTTTATTGGCATTTTTTACTTAATTTTCTGTTTTTATACTATGATCATAAATATTTTAATATGTCATGCATTTTATATTGTGTTGTAATTCACTTTGTCTAGCCCTTTAGTCACCATGTGCTATATAAGTATATTTTTACTTCTTTTTTAAACTTTTCCAGGTGGCGGTGGACCTGTGCAGGCAGCGTAACCTGTTGTCCTCTCCAGCAGCAGGAGGGAGCACTGAATCAGACCGTGACACAGAGGCACTGATTGAGGAGGTGCTAAAACTGAAGTCCCTCCTGAGCACCAAGAGAGAGCAGATAGCCACGCTCAGAACTGTCCTAAAGGCCAATAAGCAGGTACAGATGTTAGATATGTATTTATTTATTGCCAAACAATGTAGTTGTCTGGAATTCCTTGGTGAGCTCAAACACAACTAAGACAAAAACAAAAAACAATCACATTCGTACATACATAAATTATTCCAACCATTATAAAGAATGAAATACAGATGCATAAGTGCCAGAAGAGTTTAAAACATGGAGCATCCTACAATAGGCACTGTTCAAAAACCATGCAGATTTTAATTGCTCTAAGTCGTCTGCCTGAGGGTAAAGGAATAAAAAAAATGTCTGGCCGGATGTATGGGATCTCTAAGAATTAAGCCTTTTCTCTGCAAACGTGAGACATAAATGTCATCAATGGTGGACAGATCACAGCCTATAATATGTAACACATTGAATGCATACTAAATAATAAAAATGTAGCCTACTTAAAGGTCTAGTAAAATTAAAATTAATTTTTACATTTCAGCCCTGCTTTTCAGTTTTATTTCTTATCAATATAGTAGCCAGTTTAAATATTTTAACAGGAAATGTACATTGTCATTGACAAGGATGTCAGTAGGTTTCAGAGCAAATACAAAAGTGACCAACATTTTTGTTTAATCAAGCGAGAATCATTAATAACCATTGCTGATACTCTTTAAATGGCCAAAATAAGGTGTCTAGGCCAAAATTGTTTGAATAGTTGTGTGAAATGTACCATATTTTACACTGCTGTTTGGAGAATGTTCCTAACTCGAGCACATTGTTTCCTTTAATGTTAATCGGATCATATGACTGCTTTACTTTTTTTTTTTTCCTCAGACAGCCGAGTTGGCTTTAACCAACCTGAAGACAAAGTATGAGACTGAGAAGAGTATGGTGACAGAGACTATGATGAAGCTGAGAAATGAACTGAAGGCCCTGAAGGAGGATGCAGCCACCTTCTCCTCCCTTCGCGTCATGTTCGCAAGCAGGTATGATGGGATTACACATGCGTCAAGTGCTCTGTGTGCTCGCGGGCCATGGGAGTTTCTCAGGTCATTGTTCGTACAGCACATAACTCATTTCCAGTGAGTGATGTTTGGGATTTTAAGGTTAAACTGGTTGTTTGTAAACTGGTTTGATTTATGGACAGAGTGCAAATAAGTTCATGGGAGAAGTTGATTCTCTCAGTTCCAGCTTTCCCTTGTCAATTGAGGAACAACCGATCAATTTTAGTTATAATTTTTGCTGATGGGTCATCTTGGGCTGTCTGATAATACATAAATCATCAGCTGACCTGATGTAAAGATTTATAGACTTTTTAGTCACAGTACAACCCGCACTGTGGTGAAAGAGATGCAGGCATTGTTTGTTTACATTTGTAGAAAGTTTGAATAGAGAGTCATAGAGATTAGACAGTCACGACCCTGTTTTAAGAGCAAGCTAATAAGATTATAATCTCAAGGCCCGGTCTCTCACGAGCTCTCTGATCCCGTGTGCAGACGAGAGCAGCTCACTCAGAGCTCAAGTCATAGATCAAGTGTCAAGGGAACAGAGAGCAGTGGAAGTGAGGATAAAGTTTTCAGTCAAGTAACTGTAAAAGGAAAAATCTAGACCTCCTTAGAACATTTATACAAACTCATATGCATAAAATTGATTAAAAAATTCATGTGTTAAATAAACATACTTATACTTTAGATGACAAAGTATTTTTCACAAATAAATAAATATTTAATAAAAATATAATTAAAAAGGAAGTAAACACTGTAACCAACAGGGCACTCAGTATTCTGGGAAGTTTGTGTGCATTAATCATATTTTTTTCAAATAAAGCCAAGGTAACACTCATTTTACATACAGCACACAGTGGAAATGACATGAATATGACAGTGGGCAAATGCATAAAGCGCAGCATAATTTAAAATCACGAGTTTAAAGTTTGTCGATCACGCATCTCCAGTGAAGCTGAACTCTCCTCCTGTCCGCATTACATTTGCACGGATCGACCGTCACGCAGAGAACACGCCATCATGCAGGATACAAATGCACACTTCACAAGATCTCACAACTGGATCCGACTAAGTTTGCAAGGTTTTTGAAATTAGATGTTTATTAGACATTCAAAGATTTGTTTAAATGATAGAACTGTTAACGACAACAGCGAACAAGAGGGAGAATGTAAGCACTGTGTGCTCAGGCGCTGCCGTTCTCAGCGACGTCAAAATAAAAGTCCCGCCTAGAACGCATCGGCCAAACAGGAAAACTTATCGGCCGATGCCGGTATTTAAAAAATGCCAAATATCGGCCGATATATCGGCCTTGGCAATATATCGGTCGACCACTGTTGAAACACTTTTCATCAGTTGATTAATTTCACAATTCTTTAATGATTTCAGTAAATATGATTTAAAATAAAGTTTATAGCAGCAGTTTTGATGTGCATGTTATTTATTGTCTTTAAATAAAGTGATAACATGCATGATCTGTGAAAAGTTTGGAGTCAGTAAGAATTGGAAATAGTGAAAACAGTAATATTGTGAAATATTAAAATTTTAAAAAACTTGTTTAAAATATTTTAAAATGTAATTTATTCCTGTGATCAAAGCTGGATTTTCGTCATTATTACTCCAGTCTTCAGTGTCACATGATCCTTCAGAAATCTTTCTAATATGCAGATTCGCTGCTCAAGAAACATTTCTTATTATTATGAATGTTAAAGGGGTCATGCTTTTTTAAAGATCATTATTTTGTGTATTTGGTGTAACAGAATATGTTGACATGCTTTAATGTT